GGGAGTTGGACGAGCGCGAGGCCCGGATGTCCCTGCAGACGGAGTCGCCCGTCGCCAAAGCGAGGCGCGAACAGGCCCTCCGCAACATCTTGGCGTCCCGTAGGCGCAAGCAGGCCCTGCGTCGGCGCACCGCCGTCTCCGTCACCTCGGACGCGGTTGCCCGCGGCAGCTCGAGTCGCAGGAAGTCGCACCAGCCGAGGGAGACAGGCTCGAGCGACCTCCTAGAAATGCAGGAATCACAAAACGGCCTCTACGTCACCGTGCCCGAGCAGCACTCGATCAACGACACGCAGGACATCGTCATCGAGACCCTCGGCTTGGCCACCACGGCGTAAGTTGCCCCGAAGGGTCTAATAATCGCCCGTGGCCTAGTCACGCACGCGCGTCTAAAGCCCGCGGACGATCGTGCGCGGCCGCAAAATAAGATTTACGTGGGACTGCGTGGTTAATGGCCGAGTGCGGCGATAAATCAATTTTCGCCGTCCCGGACAAATCCACGATCACTCCGCGAGCACTCGGATTATTATTTCGAATGGGCGATGCTGGCTACGGGTACCGAGCGCGGCCACGGGATTACGAAAGCTACGCTTTCATTGTCGATTCTATAATATTTTCGGAATCGGCGAGCATCCACGCAAAATACCGTCCACATGTGCGGCCACCCTCCCTCCCTACACTAGCCGTCGCCGCTCCCTCTTTCTTCCTTCGCCCAAAGCCCGTAAACAAAGGAAACACTGCAACGCGATCTGCACGCTGCTGACTCTTGATAAATTCCTGGTTCTTGGGAACGCCTGCCTCCAGAAGTCCCGCCACGGTTTCGAATTATCGAAAAACTAGTTTACGATAGGCCGGCGAAACTTTTTCAAAGTAAATTTCCGCGAGCCGAATGCCTATAGGCTATAGCCCCACTACTACCTGCCACCGATGAACGGACTTTTGCGCATTTACGTGACCCACGCGTACGCACACTTAGCCATGAGTACAATGGGTGTGCAAGTAAGCGACTTTAAATGCGACGATGCGCTCTTTTCAAGGATCATTGGCAATTTATCAAGAGACGAAAGTGCTGCTTATTTTTGAAAGGGTGTATTTTCTTTCGAGCTTCATTCAATGAGTCGAAGGAATCGGACATTCACATATTATCTGCCTTTCGGCCTATAAGTTCTGAATTATAAAGCGGTTTCGAATTTAAACAAGTTTTCCGTTATTACTTATATTGATCGAACTTATTATGACTTACGATATTTCAAAATATGCCGTATTTTTAGAGACGGCAAATTTTATTTATTATTTGAAAATTTTTATAAGCCTTCGTGCATTTTCAATTCGGGAGGAAAAAAATTTGTTTGCCTGAAATTAATCAGCCAGTGGAACAACAAAAAAATCCCCAATAAATTATGACGAGGCAGTTTATTACAAGATTTCAAAAGAAAGAGCGCTACTAATTTTTGCATTTTAAATAAAGTGATACCGTTCATAAATAAATATCTTATTTTATTAATATGTTTATACATGTATTAACGCGGTTAACAAATATTGCGCTGTGTATTGATAGCAATTAATACAATAATATTTGTTAAATGAATTAAAATTGATCAAAATGACAAACATATTTTTGTCCCGTTGATAGCCTTTGACTACACAACCTCATTGCTTCTAAGAGAAATGAAGATAAAAAACAAAAAAAACAAATTTACAATTATTATGACCTTTGCTTAATCTTACGGACAGTCGAGTATTCGAGCAAGTGCCAAGTGATAATTGTCTCATTACAATTCCATGACAAAAAATATTTAAATACAATTGGCAACTCGAAGTTATTGTCAATTATAAATTCATGCTTTCGATTGATTTTTCCATCATAATGACATTCGGAGAGAAAAACAATGGACGATATCATGTAATGATGACATAAATGCATTTTCATTTGTGAAGTACTTACTTTTGAGGTGAATTTGACATCCTTTCACACTCGAATAATGCAATTTTTCTCATGTAAATAAATTACAAACAATGGCAAGGAGTAACCGCGTAAAAAACAAAATATTCAATTTCCTTCAAAGCTCGAGCTATATATGTATGTCTGCATGAAAACCATCTTTTCCACGCCCAATAGAATTTTACAATCAAATTCTCCTCTCATCCAAAAGAGAGAGTGAACAAACGGGGATCGTTTGATGGCTGTGACGGTGGGAAAGAAGGTAGGTTATCGGGGGGAGGGAGTGGGTCGGGCAAGGAGGGGTTAGCGGGGGAAGGGGAGGTTGTGAACCGGAGAGGAAAAGATAGCGTATTTCTCCTCGTAATTCCTATTTCCGCGCTAAATTCATTCGAACTAAAGCGATTACGATTGTTGCAAGACGATCGCGAGACGAATGTAACGCAAACTCATCTACTCTGTCCTAGCACTAGTAGTAGTAGTAACGGTGGAAGGCGCAGCGGCACAATGTCGATCTCATCGAAGCCGTACAGGAACAACGCCTCGATGGAGCACCGTGTCAAGAAGATCGTGTCGATGCCCGCCTCCTTGTACAATCACTTCAGGCCCGTCGAGAGCAACATCCCCATCGAGGACATGTCCCAGTTTTTGTATTTCGGCCAGAAGCTCCGAGGAACCGGTAGGCCCAACCGACGCCTCCCACCCCTGGCACCCACACGGGCGCACATCCGTACAGCCATGCACACGCACACCCACGAGCACATGCATACATACGCGCACCCACATACATATCATTCGCGCTTCCTCACTCTCGTTCCTGCTTTTCCTTTTTCGAAAGTGCCCGAACGGTGCTTTTACTGCTTTTACTCTCGACTGCGCCGCTGCTCGCGATGACGTCACTTTTCATTTATTTTTTTCGGATGCTCGATGGGCTGACTTACGGGTATTATGACCGAGTACAGCCGGACTTTCTACGATTTCTTTGACGATAATGGATCGCCGTCTCCGCGATTTCTGAAAAGCTGTCACGGGATGATTTTTCCTTTCTCCTTCCGATTGCGACTCACACAGACGTGTCTCCACTCTCTACGTTAAACTGCAAAAGATGCGGGCTTTAATGCTCTGATAATGTTTTGAGAAAATCTTTCGTGTCTATATCTTATATGCCGATAATGTTAATTCCTCTTGGCTGTACTTTTCATAATAACGTGTGAATTAAAGTAAATAAAATTAAAGTAAATAGAATATACGAGGCAAAAAAAGGTGTTATTTATGAGTGAAGGTATAACAATATTGCAACACTCTAACTTATTATTTTGACGGAGAATTGCAAGCAAAATGGAAAAAAAATGCAATATTAACGTAAAATTGTGGGTGTTTCTCCCTCTCTCTTCTTCGTCTTCTTTTTTTAATTCAATTAGCACATAAATTACTATTAAAATATCTTGAAATTCATACATAAAATTAAAATAAAATATCTTTAACATATTTGACACCTTTACATTGAGGTATATTTTCCCATTGATTTCAGATATGCATAATTTTGAATTGAATTTTACCTACTTTCTTATATTTTTATAAAGCTCATTTCAATAGATAACTTCAACTAATCTGATCTAAAATCCTTTTCCGTCTCAATGTCTATCTAAACAAACTACATCAGTGCAAAAATTCTATAATATTTCGAAATTCAAAGCTGACTGCGAGTACTTGACATAATACAATTTTTATTAATTTTAATATGATAATATTCTTTTCAAATTCAGCTTGACGCAATGCCCTCGAATTTATCGTTCTCCTGTCTAATGAGCAAAGAAATATTTTATTTATGAAACTTTTTAAAATCAATGTAAATTTTTGGTAATTAACTAATATACATGAAGTGCCCGTTTTTACTTATTACACGTAGTGAGCGTTACTTTTTTTTTTTTGTTTTTTTTTTTTTTTATCTCACCCCGCTTAACTGTAGCAGCATGTAATTATGAGGCATACTTTATTTATTTAATTTAACGTGAGTATATAAAGCCAATTATTTTTTTTATCAAGTAAACTAACGCTTACTTCGTATTCAACATTTATCAAAAATGCTTAATAGACATGTTTTTAAATCGTAATGTATTTTTCTTTCTATACATTATGTAAATTGAAATGGTTAAGTGCGAACAAATATATTCATTATTCATATAATTTCAAGAAATTATCTCGTATTATTTATTTATGAAAAAAAGTTCTTTAATAATTTTTATTACGTTTTCTGTATACTATATTTAAATATCAACACCGTATAATTAATTATATGCATAAGCAATTAATTGTAAATTAATTTAAATGAAAGGTTGAGCACCATTCTTTTTCTTTAAATTGCAATACAGTAAGCAATACTATAAATAATCGAAAAAATCTTTTATAACTCACAGGTTGTTGTAAGATTCGTAAACATTTTTATTTTAGAACAAAGACGAATAGGCCAATTGATTTATTTGGTTATCCAAGTCGTTATATTATATGATATTGTTCTACAGTCATAAAGTGATACGACAATTATGCTCGATTTTAATAGATGATCATTTCAATAAACGTGTACACAAAGTAGCAACAACCTGCTCAAACCTCTTCAATTTATTTCTTGTACATAACTAATTAAATAAATACAAAAATTACAGCCCTGTCGTCTTTGAATTCAAGACAGAGCATATATTATTTCTTTTCACTTACTGAATTGTAGACTAATAAAAGTCTACCATATATGAAATTGAAGATGTCTTAAGTATCTTAAAATGGTAATACTAGATTTTATCGTTAATTACGTTTTATACATTAAAGGAATAGCATCACTATACTTATGTTATTAAAAATATGGCTTTGTAAAATTATAGATAATGTGTATGTAAATTCTTGCTAATTATTAATTCTATGTATTATGTTTATCAACAGTTAATTAAGTTGGTTGATGTAATTATATAAAAAAATAAAAAAAATATACAATCAATACGCCTATGTATGAGAAGCTGATAATAAATTGAGTTCATTAATTGTTGAAGCAGTTTCAATATTTATAAATGTAGGAGAGGCGGTAAGTATTAATAGTTAATTGTGACTGCGTTATGTGATTATTGAAATATATCATTTTCCGTATCTTAGAGAAATGTTTTGTTATATATATATATATATATATATATATATATATATATATTACCATTACAGAAACCATGTTCAATTTTAAGTTCAGTTATAATTTATTCTATGAATGTAGTCTAAATAATACCATTTATATACAATATAAATATACAGTTATATATTGGCTATATGTGTAGATCGGAAAAAATACAGTTTCAACTACGTATATCAATAATATATATATATATATATATATTTATTTATTACTGCACTATGTCATTTAAAATTAAATTTTATAAATGAATGCATTATTAATAATCTTTTAATTATTAATTTATCTTATTTAACTGCTAAATTAAAATTCTTCATTAAATTCATCCAGCTAATACTTCATAAACTAAATTATAGCCCTCATGCAAGTATATTTTATTTTCATATTGACATTTTCAAGCCCAACGAAACGTCTATTCAATTAATTATTTTCAAAATTAATCCCCATTGAGTCTGAAAATAATAAAATAACTATCCCCCTCTCCCTTCCCACCCTCATCAAGTCCTTTGCGTAGGAAAACAAGACAGACAAAGAGTGTGCAAGTGTCTGGATAATAAAAAATTACGAATTAAATTTCGCCATATAGGCATGGCCAAGGACACTTCATCGATGAGTCCAGCATCAAAAAAGCTTCTTCTAGCCGGCCTTGAGGATATGCTCGATGACGATATGAACAGCGTTGACAATCTACGTATGACAGCGTCCACGAAGATACGAAAAACAAGTTTGCGAGAGCAGACGACGAGGCCGGTATGCCCTGACAAGATAACGGAGGCTCGTCGTAACAGCATCAATGGCACCGAGGCCCAAAAGAACCAGGGCACCGAAACTTCTCTTGGTCTACGCATAATCGTTACCGAGGCACCCATAAGACCAATAAGCACAATGGCCGATACTTTAATGTACTTTGTGGGGAATAGAAGGAATACTACGCAGGCTAATTCAATGGCATTGATAACGACGTCGTCGATGATAACAACACCGGCAATGGCAGCAACGTCCGCGATAACGACAACGACAACGCCGATGACCCCGGCGACTACGTCTACTACTACTACTACTACTACTACTACTACTAATACTACTACTACTACAACAACTACTAGTACGACTACGACTACGCCGTCAATACCGTTGATGAAAGTAACAACGATGACGACGTCGAGGAGATCGTCGACAACAACTACAGAAGCAGCAACAACGGAAGAGGTAACGCCAGAATCTACCGAGGTATGTTAAGTTAAATTATTTATCTTTTTTTTTTCGAATAATAGATATTCCTAAATCGATCGTTGACTCCAATTATTGAACAGTCATTTTAAACGAACGAATTTTCAAATTGACTTTACCGCAACAACTTTATACGCACTTTTTCTCTCTTTCTTTTTTCTTTTTTTATTTTATATCCACTAAACTTATAACCTCCACAATTTTTAAAAGATCAATTAAGGGATATGAGTGGCGATTATTGCTTTCGCGTGCCAAGAAAAATATTCGATAAAAATTTATTTGAACGATTAAGCGCGAGTAAAGTCTTCAAAAAAACAATTTAGTAAATTTTATACAAACGTACGTGCTTTAAGATTAATTATTTAAATTTATTTAAATTGAACTCGCCAAGTCATTGAATAATCTAGATTGCAGATGAGCAAAGTCTCAAGATAATTATATTCATCACTCTTAAATGACAGTAGTATCGAATTATACAAATTACATAGTTGTTGCTCTAAAGTGTAAAAGAAATCATCGAACCTCCAAGATTATTGACATAATTACTGTAATAAGTAGCAAAAAAATGTTAGTTACTATATACGTTAAAACAACAATCAGAACGTTGAGCAGGCAATTCGAGTTTTGCTTTTGTTCTACACGCGCTCATTATCATCGAGCTCCATTCTTTTCAATTGAAAGAATGTTCTTTAAGCTCGATTGAACATGCAAAAAAAAAGCGCTCGAAATCGAGAGATCATTTCCGGCTTGGGGAATACGATATGTGGAAAGGTCTGCGACATGTGGCTCCCCGATATGTCATTGTGCACTCAGGAATATGCATGGAGTATTGGACTAAAAAGCCTCCTCCTCTTCCTCCTTCTCCTTCTCCTTCACCACCCCTCTACCACATTCTCGTATCCCGACTAAAAATCGTCTCGTATCTATAACGCGTGCCGCAGCAGCAGCAGCATCAGCAGCAGCAACAGCAACAGCAACAGCAACAGCAACAGCAACAGCAACAGCAACAGCAACAGCAACAGCAACAGCAACAGCAACAGCAACAGCAACAGCAACAGCAACAGCAACAGCAACAGCAACAGCAACAGCAACAGCAACAGCAACAGCAACAGCAACAGCAACAGCAACAGCAACAGCAACAGCAACAGCAACAGCAACAGCAACAGCAACAGCAACAGCAACAGCAACAGCAACAGCAACAGCAACAGCAACAGCAACAGCAACAGCAACAGCAACAGCAACAGCAACAGCAACAGCAACAGCAACAGCAACAGCAACAGCAACAGCAACAGCAACAGCAACAGCAACAGCAACAGCAACAGCAACAGCAACAGCAACAGCAACAGCAACAGCAACAGCAACAGCAACAGCAACAGCAACAGCAACAGCAACAGCAACAGCAACAGCAACAGCAACAGCAACAGCAACAACAACAGCAAGAGCAGCAACGGCACGTGAGCGAGGAGCAGCAGCGGGAGCAGCAGCAGCATCGACTCGAGTTGCGCAACTCGTACGTCGGGGAGACCGGCGGCCCGTGGAGCTCGTCCTCCTCGACGGGCGCTCCTCGGCTCAGTGCCGGCGCGACCGTCGAGCGAGTCGCCGCTCCACTCAGCGTCCGAGCCAAACCGACAACGGTAGCGCCCCACCAGCACCAACAGCGCCAGCAGCATCAACGACAGCAGCAATCACAGCAGCAATCACAGCCGCATCAGCAGCCACAGCAGCAGCAACAGCAGCAGCAACAGCAGCAGCAACAGCAACAACGACAGCAGCAATCACAGCAGCAATCCCAGCCGCATCAGCAGCCACAGCAGCAGCAACAGCAGCAGCAACAGCAACAACTACAGCAGCAACAGCAGCCACAACGACAACAACAACAACAACAACAGCAGCAGCAGCAGCAGCAGCACCATCAACAACAACAGCAACAGCAACAGTCGGGCTTCACCATCAGGTGGACGGACGCACGGTCGTCCGTCAGCGGCAAGGGACAGCGGAGGTCCCCGACGAGTAGACGTCGGGAGAAGGCGGCACGGGTCATGGAGGAGCCCCCGAGGATGCTCGAGCCCTCGGAGGTCCAAAAGATGTACAGGTCGGGGAGCACGATCAAGCCGGAGTCCGTGGGTACCGAGTCGCCGCCGGGGCGCTCGCCGGAGGTGCGCCCGAGGAACCTCGACGGGGACAAGGCCAAGGACGACGTGCTACCGATAATGCAGCTTTACAACACCTCGAGCATGTTCAATGGGAGCGAGGCCGAGCCGATGATGCCATCAGCGACGACAACGATGGCGACGACGATAACGACGACGATGACGACGACGACGACGACTACGAGGGGGGAGGCTGAGACGGCGACCATAGCGACCACAGCGACCATGGCGACGACGGCGAGCGCGAGTCCCAGTACCGCCGGCATCCCGGCACACGGGCCCAGGAGGTCGACGTCGTCCCCGTTCGCGAGAAACTCGGGGAGTAGAAACGGGACTGGCTCGGCCAAGCCACACCGAGCCGAGTCTGCCGGCGAGTCAGGATATTACCCGGTCGAGCTGGGAAACAACGGCGACGGCAGTGGTGGCGTCGGTGCCAAGAGCAACAGGACGTTCTTAGAACCGCCGGTCTTCGTGACCATGGCGCCCCGCGAACCCATCGTGAACATTAGTGAAGTGATATCGCGGAGGCACGACGGCGACGCCCTGGCGAGTCAGGAGACGGTGGCCGTCGTCAGCTACATCCTCGCGACCCTCGTCGTCTTTCCAATTGCCGTTGGCGTTGGACTGATCTTGAGAAGACTGATACTTAGAAATCGTAAGGTAAGTGCGCTCTCGATTTATCTGTGTCCGGTGTTGGATGGATAAAAACAGTTGGTCGGTTCGGCAGCCGCGAGAGGCGAGTCGAGCCGAATGAAAAGCAACTGATGGGAATTAGAGTCGAAAACTTTTTGCGCTCAAATTTATAAATAACTTTACAAACGACTGCTAACGTACGATTTCAATCGATGATTTTTGTTTTCATTTTCAACGTTAATTTCGATTAAAATTACCAAGACGAGACATTACTGTTCTCGTCGATATTATTACCAGCAAATTGTCTGTATTCTTTTACTTGACAATTATTCGTTATCTTACATAAGTTAGGATTTTTTTATTTTTTTTTTTTTATTTTTTATTTTTTTTTAATTAAAACTTTATTCACGTGCTTGTACAATTTTGGTATTACTATTGTACTCAAAATTTCATTATCAGCTTAAAACTTTTCAGTCATTTCAATTTTTCATATTATTCGCACTCTTCGTCCAATTCTTTTATTTTCTTACGATTAAGAAAAAAAAAACAACTATATATACATAGATGCACACAAATTTACATATATAGAAACGTGTTAACAAATTATATATACATCATTTTTCTTTAAAATATAAAAATTTCATGCCAGTGTTTATTCATCCAGCTTTATGTGTTAATTTACTGTTACATTCACCTCGCTAGACATTTTCTTTCTACATTCAAAGTATTCATTAAAATACTGTGAATGCTGAATTTTTTTGTAGCACTTTATTTGGCTTTTGGTTGGATTGACACTTGAATGTGTGATTGTTTACGTGCTTTTATTTCATTACACTAAAATATATTTACTTAAGGAAGTGAGCTTCGTACATTTGAATTTTTTGAAATTTATAATATAAATGTTATAAATAAAATGTATGAAAAGGCTGATTTTAATTGAATTTGTTTAAAAATTAATTTCTTCGATTATTTATATGTCTATTTATATATAGGGACACTTTTATTTATTTATTAATCAGTTGCTTTAGAAGTACCGCTTTCAAAAACGTTTATTTTACAAACTTTTAATAAACGCAGTCTCTATAATAATAATAATAATAATAATAATAATTATTATTATTATTATTATTATTATTATTATTACTATTACTATTATTATAGATGTTGTTATTGACTTTGTTGTTATTATTGTTGTTATTATTATTATCATCATCGTCGTCGTTGTCGTCGTCATCGTCGTCATCATCATCATCATCATCATCATTATCATTATTGGTATTATTATTAATATTGGATAATTATGCTTGCAACTACCCAATAGAAGACTTATTATTTATAACGATTGGCAGTGAATAGAATGTTAAGGGTAAAGGGCATTCTGACTATAAATCCTGCTTTAACCATAAATATCATAAAAGATCTCAGAATTATCTATTTTTGAATCAAGACACATACGATTAGCCACCGTGTTGTTTTTGTTGATTTCTCTTCGACGAATGAAATTTCCAAGAAATAATGCGAACAAACTAGCTAAAATACGACGAAAGTAGAATAAGAATGCGATTTTTGATTTTTCAAACGATTATTTTCAAAAACTCTATTTTTTAAATCATTCTTACTCGGGGAATATAAAATTGACAATGTTGTAGATTAGCAAATTGGCAAATATTCATTTGGCCTACTGGCCTGAGTGAAGTTACACATCCAGTTATGTGCGCCACTAATCTCCTCAAATAATCGATCGTGGCCGATCGACCTTTCCCCATTTACAGCGTTATCTTGCAAGCGCGACAATTGTAACGCCAATGACCGCGAGAAAGAGTGAAATCTAATTAAAGCAATGTATACCATGATTTCGAGCTGCTTGCGTTTACTTTTATTTCCGCTCTTCATTTTATGCATAAGTATCCAGCTGCGGTAAGGAGCAACGCGACGTGTCCCTTCGTGAATTCGAGGCTCGATGAATCATCACCGCCGTAGGTAGAAAAAATTACGTCGTTTCTTTTCCATTCAGGCACACATCGCGATGCTGTGTAACTCTCTCTTTTTTTCTTTTATCACTTAACTTTAGAATGAGAAAAGCTATTCTCATCAGCAGCAGCTTTACAAGTACGTGTTTTTTTATTTAATTTATTTATTTATTTTTTATTTTTATTTTTATTTTTATTTTTATTTTTTTTAATCTTTATAATATGTTGAATTAAGTCCAGCAGAGACTATAATGTTGGCAACCTCGTGTTGGCCGAGTTACGTATAAGTTGATTGTGAGAGAGGAGCAGGTGTTAATTGGAGTAGACTCGCAATGTGGAGGGGCAGAAACGGTGTATTTAAAGTTAAGTAGCATCGTAAAAAAAAAAAAGAAAAAAAGGCGCGTTAGCTTAAAAATTATTAACGCAATTTTTAATTTTTTTAAGTTATTGTTGCAATTATCTGACAGAGATGTTAAAAGGATTATGTAAGAGTCGTGTAAACGAATTCGAGTCATTATTCGCATCGTGTATTTAGACATTTTATATTGAAATGATGCATTAACAATATGATATATAACAATGTAATATCGATATATTATTATATTATAATAATCATAATTATAATGACATGATAATGATAATACACAACAAACAAAGATAATGATAATAATAATGACAATAATAATAGTAATAATAATGATAATCATCATCATCATCATCATCATCATCATGATCATCATCATCATAGAACATAAGAGCAACGATTTAAAGTAGCATTTGCTTGATAAGTAATAATAAATTCATTATTTAACCATTAGATTATACTAAATACTGATATCGACAACATCTGTTTTATGGAATCGCGACATTAATCTAATAATTCTCGATATAATATAATTAACTACTTTTTAATTATTAATTTTCTAACTTAAGAAAAAAGTGAGAAGGAAATAAATGTTTAAATGAAGAATCAAATAAAAATTAAATTTTACATTTTACTTAATACTGCATTATAGAAAGAGATCTTATTACATCATTGTATGTAAAATACCATAATTTCGAATAAATTTCAGTAATTTTAGCAATAATAGCTCTTTTGATTAATCACAGTTTATATGATATATGCTATTTCATAATTGTTAAATCTTTTGAAAGTCATAATATTAGTGTTCTACCACTTAATCAGTTAAACATTCAAGTACGCAGTGCATTTAAGTCGAGATTATGATTTACATGCATATCATAATAATTGTATGATTATTATTCGCATCCCTCAGTTATAAGCGTTAGGGCGAAAACACATAGGGAAGTAGGGAGCTCGTAGGAATTACCTCAGCGTACGTTGGTTTAACTCGCCTAAATGTGGGGTGGCTTCGCTAAACTTCGGCCCCCAGACATTTTTATACTTGCATACATACGACTAGAAGGGCTTTTTTCTCGCGCCCCTTTCGTACTGCCATTCACCTTTTATATTCGTGTGGCCACGTCGCGGTCGGTTTGCGACGTCTAATTTATGCCTTCGCCGATTTTACGATCGCGCATTTCGTTCTGCACTTGAAAAAAGAAGTCGAGAGAGAAGGAGAACCGAGAGCTCATTCTCGAAATTCTCTCCCGCCGCTGCTTTCTTTCATTTTTGTTTTCTTTTCTATCTTCAATAGCCTTGTTCCCTCGATCTCTCTCTCTCTCTCTCTCTCTCTCTCGCGCGCGCGCGCGCGCACGCTCGCTCGCTCGCGCGATTCTCTTTGGGTGTATTTTTTACTAAACCGATGCAGAAATCGCAAGTGAAAGGAAGATGCGTTTAACAATCCGTATGATTATGGGGTTGCGGTTGAATTTAAATTGGAGATATCGATAATCTTAAACTACTGATGTTGAACGAAAACTTTTAGGCTTTACGCTTGAACTATTTTATAAATCTGAAAGTATTTTTATCAAAGTAGATTATAAGCAAATTAGCAGCGTTTGATATTTACAAGATTCGATAATTATGTGAAAAGAGCTATTTTTTTTTTAATGGGATTTATATTCTATTCAGCATGGAAATATGGATTTTACACAAGTAAAAATCGCCAATATTCTTTAAATAATAAATCCTCGGCTAAGGATGATTGCTTTAAAGTAAATTAGCTTTTCAAAGTACAGTTAATGCTTTGCTAGCGATGCTTGATCAGTTATTGAATTAAATCTACATAGATAATGATCTAAGATTTGTTTCACCTTATTTTATATTCCAAGCCTTTGTTACTTTAGTAAAATGTAATATTAATATTTTCTTCTTTACAATAATGCTGAAAATTTTTTAATTTAAATTATACAAATTGCAATTGCAGTAGTAATATTTCTTTTCGCAAATAAATTTTATCAGCTTATTAGATATTCCCGTTCGACACTACGCCCATTAAATGTAAATATAATTTTATAATTTCTTTAAACTAAGTCAAAGTGGGTTTTTAAGCCACAAACTTAAATTCACATCGCCTTCACATTATTTTCATTATTTTCTCAATACATTTAAAGATTTATTATTCTCATTTAATTCAAAACCAAATTGAATCTCATAGTCGAGTATTTTCGATTATAACTACATAACCCGTCCTTGTAATCTTGATCTACTTGCTTTTATTACTGTTATAATAATTATAATGCGTATTGGCGACAGTTAAACGGGCTTTTTATCTCATAATTATGTAAATTTTTAGATACTCCACTTTTCTTGTCTTATTTTACCGCATATTTTTGTAAACGATTTATTTCGACTGCTTTTAACTAAATCTCATTCAATATCAGATGATATTGTATTTCATGTTATTTATTTATTTATCTGCCTTACAAGAAGCTCATAATTCAAGCTAGTTTCTTACATGATTACGGATATTATTGTTTAATAAGCTATATCATACGAACATAATATATCGCACGACAATCAGCGCAGCACAATAGTTTGTTTACAGACTAGAAACAAGCATTTGCAAAAACATTTATTTCTCGACATTTACACTTTTTTTTATTTTATAGCTATTGTTCGCTATCGTGACAATATCTCTGCATTTCTCTACCTTTCACATCGAATCCTAATTTATCGGGGATTACATGGATTTTTCTTGCTTTGACTTTATTCCTACTCCACCGCTCCATTGCTTTTTAACGAAAGTCCGATATTTTTAAGCGCAGGTCTCCGTTCAGCACCCCAAAATGCAAATGCCAATTCGGATATAATATAACGAAGGATGCGATTGCGCGATAACTTACTTGCGGTTTTGGCCGCCTATCGTACCTCGACAACATGCTCGAACAAACTCGCCATCAATCAGTCACAAGCGAATATTACACGTGTCGCTCTATTGTCATTATTTCGTTCCGTTCATCAAACACATTACATTACGAACTAAATATATGCGCGCGCATGTTCCTCGCCGTCGTTATTTCACGCAATTTCTTTTTTGTTCCCTCTTGGATTCTTTTAATTTTTCATCGCTATAGCGTTTTCGACGACTCAAATTACTTTCGTATAATCGCAGAAAGGCAAAGCCGACCGATTGCCACCTGACAGCTCGACGCGCATCATTTTTACTCGAGTGACGGGCACTCACGACATTAGTCATATGATGATTATGTCTTTTTTTATTATCGATTTCGACTCATTAATAATCTAAAAGCCATGTGTCAAGTATTTAATTATTTTGGCGAAATAATTAAATAAATTAATAGCTAATTATCACGTAGCTAAATGTAGATAATATGATTTAATATGATTTTGATTTCTCGTAACACGTATACTTACCTTTATCCATTCAATCTGTAATGATGTCGATACACTCGATACAGAAAATTTTATTTTTAATCCATATCTTTTTATTAGAATGTTTATAAAATTTGACTAAAAGCACAATTTTTTGTTTTACGATACGTACTACCTTTTTCTGCAAGAAATTCATTCAGTATAACACAATCCATTGCCGATTATGACTATTATTCCTACTATTCCTTCAAAGTAATTGTGCTCAATAAACGCATAAAACGTTTTTAATAAAAGTGCTTTATGTATTTTTAATAGATAGATAACTTTGTTATTTCATCGCGTGTTTACTATTTGGTTGTACATAAATACTAATGAGTATGCGTATAATTTAATGGACTTTGTTCAATATTATGAAAATATTGTTTAGACAAAAAATTGCGCAATTAAAGAAGAAAACATTAAGCCAGCATAACAAAAAAAAAAAAAATTGATTTTCCCTGTACGTAAACAAGAACTACAGGCAACCGTAACAATTGCCGATTAAGCGACTTATACAGGTATATGAAAACAACGGAATGCTACGTGTGATATAATTTTTTCCTGCATACGTGTTCGGATGTTTATATTGAAGCTCGATTAAATATTCCGTAAGACCGATGACGCCACGTAAAAAAAACTTGCTCGCATAACCAATTATACATCAGCAGTTTGTGGAATGACGCGTTTCGATATTTAACCATTCGCTTGCGAACCAACGTAACGATAAATCTCCAATTATGCGATTATGAATAATCGAGTTTACGCGAATATTGCCTATATATGTAATGACTCGCTGTAAATGGTAACAATGTTCATTTTTATAATTTTAACTTATTATCATACTTGGTAAAAGTACAAAGTTATGGAAAACATTTTGGTCTTATATATTCAACTTAGCCGTGAAATGATATCATTAAGGCCTATTATTTTGAGTATTCGCAGTATCGTGAAGCATTCGATAAGAATTTTACATTTTATGAAATAATTATTCACGATTTAATGGTCAATTTAAAATAACATTTAAAAATTTAAAATAACATCATATTACATTGTTTTGTTCTGCGGTTGGTCGTGTTAAAAACAAAAATAATAATAATAATAATAAATAAATAAAATAAAAAATAATAAAAAACATAAACTTGAAATAGGAATATAAGCTTGTTAAACGTTTATTATTAATGTATTACTAAAACATAAACGGACTCCACGGAAAAATTAAAACCTTACAATGTCATTTTATAATCCTTTGTTTTATTAGAAGTATTTTTGTAATATGATCGTATTTAAAAGAAGAAGAAAAAAAGGTAAAAGGAAATATGGTAGTTGTATAGTGAAGCGTTAAGCTTAACTCTAAATGTAATGTGGTGCATGGAAAGGCAGTCGTATCTTCTTACAAGCTTAAAAATATTACAAAAGAAATGCAAACAGAAAATATGAACGTCAAGATCCGTATATATATATATATATATATATTTATGAATGCATACTTGCAGCGTAAAAGTAACAATGTGAAAAACGAACATTATGAGACGATGACGCGCATGAGCCGACTTTTCGCCTTTCATTTTATCTCATTCTTGACTTTGTGACTTAAATATGCGCGTTATTGAAATATTACGTAGGTGCTGGAGGAGTCAGATACGTCGTCCGAGATAAGCTGCAGGAAGGATGCGCTCAACCTTGAAACAGGAGACTTCAAAATGTCTATAGAGAAGACTATCACGAAGCTACCGAGGATACAACATCTCGTAAGTTCTCGAGAAGATTTTCCAGAAGCATGCACCCACTAAGCTATCGGTTATATATTGACTATGCTTTCGAGATAATTGACTGACGCAAATGTCGTTATTTTCGCTTTAATTAACGTAGTGGATCCTTTAGTCTAAGTACGTAAAGTATTATGTTTGTCGCTAAAATCAATTAATGAAAATCAACGATCTACCGGTTATAACGTTATCTCATTATATTGGTACTTGTAAGTAACTCCAGTCCTGTCATTATGAGACACACATTTGGCTCAGACAAGTACTGATTTTTGAGATCTATATTAGCAACTCTACTTAGCCTCATTAATTTTGTAGAAAGAATTTAATTAATATGAAATTGAAATGCTATTGCTTTGACATAGCCCGCGGCTAAATGAGCGCGAAGGTGTTGTGTTGCATGATACTTTTTTTTTTCTATATAAGAAAAATCGATTTATTTACTGTTCCAGTGCATACAGTTTTTAATGATCTCAGGTTTTAGAGTTTCAAGCATACGATTAAATTTAAATTTATAATTTTGACAATGTGAGCTCGAAAAGATGTACGATCTTACCATTCAATACGTATTTACGTTACGGTTTTAATAATTAAAATTTTATGTAACCTTGCATATTCTCGGTGTTGTTTACTTTGCCTGTATTTTATTGATTCAGGAATTCACACTTATAAATTATAACTTCTTAATGACGTTATGAAAATGCAAAAGTCACCTAACGAGAAAATAAATTTGAAATAATATACATTTAAAAAGAGATAAATATATAGAAATAGTTGCTGTCAAACAGGTATCCATAGTAACACGACTGAGTATAATACAAACATATTGCAATGAAATCTTATTCAATCCATAATACCTGTAGTAACAATACATTTCATCCATTTTTTGGATAATAAGCATGATTTTCCATTATAATTTTAACTTCAATATAACACATACATTAGCTAATCTCTCATTAGTTTTACTAAAGCACGTATACATAATAAATACACTCTATTTCTTCTATATTATATCAAAATGCAATTAACTAAAATTTTAATTATTAATTATTTAATCATCCGTGAATCATTACTTTATTTAATAACAGCTACAAGACATGACGAATTACCGAGACTCTTCACTCACGTAACAACCAAACAAAACAAACAAAAACAAAAACGAAAAAAAAAAAAAACAGAAAATAAAAGAAAAAACGATAAAAAGGCACATAAATCCGTTGATCAATTGTTCAGCACAAATTAACGCTGCATTTACACATTCAACATGAGCACATGATGCCTCTGATTTTTATCCACTTATTGTGTTTACTAATCCTTTTTTTTATTTATTTTTGTCTCACTGCGTTGGCCAAAAGAGAAGAAAAATATGAAAAAATAATGACATGACGCGTTCGTTAATTACAGTGTCATGAGGCAGAAAAGCCACCTCCACCCTCGTCGCAAGAATCACGCTGGGAGTTCTCGAGAGATAAACTGAGGCTTCAGACTGTCCTTGGCGAAGGGAATTTTGGTCAGGTGAGCTCGCAAACGATACAAGTGTTGCTAATCATTTACAATAGAACGTCTTATGCTAACAAATCGGAGATCCCCCATATTATCGCCCGTAGAGTCACGCATTAAGTATTCAAATTGTTTTATGTATTATTTCAAAATGAATAATAAATCTTAAAGAATGTAAGCGCCCAAGACTGCCTATATGGTCACTTTTGTGTAAAGCCTATGTCTCGGATAATTCTTAAAGAAAATCGTTTTGTATCAATGAAGTGGAACATATATAATAGAATGAAACCATAATAATATAAATGATTGATAAACTCGAGTGACCGTAACTCATTTTTTGTTTTATTCTACAAAACACACGCGTAAAAATTGTGCGTGAAAAGTTTCTTTAACAATTCCCCCTTACATACACTCTATTCGTAGCTGCGTACAATAATAAACGACACTCGATCTTCTTGAAAATTTATATCCACGAGATTACCTAGAATCGCGCTCTTATTAAATACATTTTACACATAATGAGTCGACTGAATGAGTTGAATACGACTGTCAGAATAAAATTCATTCATCGCTTAAAAATTATAAATAGCTTTTTGAGCGCAACACGGTACATTATAATTACAAAGGCTTAAATTTGATTAAGAATCGTATCTGGACCACCGATTGATTATAAATTTCTGAAATTATAATAAGTATGGAAAGCATGCCCAGCATTGAACGAAACTTCCAATCTTACGGAGATTAGCGCTGCAACGGGAAGAGAATCTTGTATAATAGAATGTACAATGTTCGCATATCTTGAAAATCTTATATCAGCATCACGTAAATAGAATAATAGAACACGGGCCGCGATTATTAGGGCAAACGCGCTTATTTCAAACGACTAAATCCCTGACTAAAGCCTGACTCGGCTTAAAGGGATACATGTAACTTGGGCCAGCGTGCGAGACGATAAAAGTCCGGCGGCTTCGGTCCCAATGCTCAAAATTCTGGCTTTCCGCGCGGCTCACGATGCACTTTCGGTTTCATTTCGCCAGGTCTGGAAAGCGGAAGCGGATGACTTGACTGGTCACCAGGGCACGACGCGGCTCGTGGCCGTGAAAACGGTGAAAGAGGGCGCCTCGGACAGAGAAAAGGAGGACCTCGTGAGGGAATTGGAGATTATGCAGCGAGTCGGCAGCCACCCGAACGTCGTCACGCTTCTCGGATGCTGCACGGAGCAAGGTGAGTCCGTGGATTCGCAATTTTCTCGCGGCAGTCGGTGACTCCATTTTTTTTATTCCTTTTTTTTTTCTTTCTTTCCTTTTCGGGCCCAGAGATCGAAAGAAGGGCATCGCAGTCACGACTAGCGTCGCTTTCGCGCGTCGTGGGAAAGGGGCCTAAGTATCATTGCATTAGACTGGCTAAAATTGGCCCGACTTTTAACTACGTTTCACTCTCAGCCCAAGAGTTGGGCAAGATTTTTCAGCAATTTTTACTTGGGACTCGTCGACCCCTTTCCCCCGGCGCCCCCGACCCAGCCGTGTCCACCAGCCCAGCACCCGTGGGATTAGCGCAACCGCGGCGCAATCGCTTCTTACATCGGTCGCGTAAGAATCACTGCGCAGCTCGTAGATCTCGACCGCGGCAATAAAAAAACGTGAAATTTTGAGCGTGCGAGGGAGAGGGAATGCTTTGAGCGGACTGCCTCGATATTACAAACAAACGCGCATCCTGTGTTGCTCGTAAGAAAGCTCTTCCCCATACATTTTAGTTTATTTAACCGAGTTGAAAAATGTGAATGTTTATAGATGAATTATGACTTAATCGCACGACTACAAAGGAGCATTTAAACCTGCAGAGTTTCGAGCACAAGCTTCCGTATTCAAATTTATCGCTGTATAATTAAATTCCTTCCCAACTGAATAACGTGTTAGCTTATTGTGCATCTTATAAATAATGACGCGCATTTCATAATAATAATTTTATCTTATACAAAAACGAATAAAGATTAATGCCGTTTTTAAAATGATTTACATGCATAGTAGTGATATTAATACATGCAATCGGATGTCGAAGAACTCGCATCGATAAATTCAAATTATCCTTTAGTCTTGAAAAATAATATATCCCCTGTCAACGTGAGCCGAAGAAATAATATCGAAGAGGACTCGCGCCTGCGATTTATGAAGGAAGAGTACCGAGCGCCGGAAACGAGCCCCCGCCTTCCATTTGTATAAAAACAGAAGAGGGATTGGTAATCCGCGATGTAGGCGAAATGAGCCACTCCGAGGTCGAGTGGCCCCATCCGGAAATAAATGCCCTGTATTTGTCGCGTACGTGGCGGGGGATGGGGCCGAGGCCGGTTGGGATTCGCCCAATCGGCATGCCAGCATCGCTACGCGGCGTCGAAGGGGACGAGGGACGTTTCGTTGTCCCGGGGCAACCCCCCCCCCCCACGGCCACGTCCAAGCGAAAAGCGAGGCCACGCGCGCATCTCGCAATCAAACGGGGTTGGCTTTCGCCCGACAAATATCTTCATCGCGAACTTTGCCCCGGCTATTACAGCGTCTCCGACAGACGGCGGCGCACGCGTTTACGCGTCCGCGAAATTTTGTTCTCATCTTGAGACATCAAAACTTGATAACTTGATACGAGTGATCATCTGCCAGTAAGTTTGAGTTTGCCCACGCAGAGCCGAGATAAAGAGCCTCTACCAAGAGTAAAGCCGCGTGGGGCAGAGGAAGGCGCGCGGAAATTGAGTGGAAGAGCGAGACAGAGGAGCCACACTGCGTTGCATATTTTCTTGTGCAACGATGGTACCACACCTTCTCGCGGACCAAATCAGCGAATTCATCGGCGTTCACGAATAAATTTCCGTATGTCCTCAAGATGATCTTCCGGTACAATGCACTTATTATCGTCGGCAATGCCCCGGCGTATTTAGTTGTCCTCCCACAGGAACATACACGAGTGGCTATGCGCGGGAAAATAAAGTGATTGAGTCATTCGTGGCCGTCCAGTCGACTTTAGTCCCTCCAAAGCGAACGACATGGCGTATTGGCGCAGGCTAAATCTGGCTCTGCTCCTTTTTTCTCGGCTGGTCGAACCTTGACGATTGGTGATTTTTCTCGTCCATCCACGCTACCTCGCTGTTTTTCAGAAATTAATGAATAAATTGCGAATCGTAACTCATGCCACCGATAAACAGTTTCACGGACTTTACATTGATACTTTATATCAACCGTTGAATTACCGATAAGATATACAATAAGATTTATATATATATATATATATATATATATATATATATATATATATATATATATATATATAAGGCAGTAAGATAGATACAGAGAGAGAGAGAGAGAGAGAGAGAGAGAGAGAGAGAGATAAAAATAACAAAATAATCAACAACAAACAAAAAAAGGGAAAAAGAAGACGAAGAACAGGAAGAAAAATAAACCTCCTCTTCCCCGTACACGTCGATTTTGTAATTATAATATTTCATGCACAAATTTATAACCCACCATCTTCCGAGGGCTGAAGTGTAAGTTTTATGAAGCAATCTTTCATCCCAACTTTTAAATCTTGCCATTCTCCAATATTCTGCGTATATTAAAATATAATAACCTTCGATCGAGATAACGCGTCGTGTTAAATTTACGCGTGACGCTGCGAGCACGAAATCCCTCTCTGCTAAAAAAGGAA